CGGATAGAATCGTCGTATAAATCTTAGAGTTTAAATTAATATTATCAATCTTTCTCCAATGCGTTTCTTGAATTCCACAAATATCAATTTTCTGTTTCCTCAAATATTCCAATAGAATGGATCTCTTAAAAGGACAATTAAGTCCCTGAACATTTATTGAAGCAAGTCTAACCATAATCCCTAAACAATTTTCTCTGATCGCCGGGAGCCCCTGCCACGAATCTGAGCAAAAGAATTCCGGTTCCACCAAAAACCAAACAACAAAAACACATATAAAACATAAAAAAATTTAAATATTGGGGTACCTAGATGTCCCTGTGGGTACCTTACCCAAACCAGGGGCATCCAAATAGTTGCCATTAACCAATGGCAAACCCGAGCGGAGGTCTGATTTGGGGAGCAGGTTTCTCTCTTTCTACCCACGTTGATAATTCCTTCCTCTTATTCCCCCTCTAATCCTCATCATCCACTCAATATTCTTCCTCTCCTCCTCTCCACTCCACTCTCTTTCTTTGTATTAACTGTAGAAATTATATTTCAAATTTGTCTTGCTTTCTTTAATAATTCACATCTTTCTTATCTAATCAACTGTCCTCTCTCTCTTCCTTTCGTTTGTTAAATTTCCTAATCTCCTCTCATTACGTCTAGGTATGTGAAGGTGATGTGCTAGTGGATCAATTGTTTGTATTTTTGTGTTGAGATATGTGATTAGTGTTCATATTTTAATCTTAATATGTGGAGCAGCTTTTTAATTATATAGTTTAGAATGTCGTGGGATTCTGTGTTGTAGTTCCTTTAAATATCATAATTAAGTGGAAGTGCAACGCATCATATTGATTTATTCCTATGTTGTAATTCTTAACTTTTTTCCTTTCCTTTATCATTACTTATGGTTTAGTGATTATATCATAGTCTTAATATGTAAAAACTTTTTTAATTATATGATTTTTAGTGTCGTGTTATTCCATATTATAATTCCTTTTGCTATCATAAATATGTGAAAGTGTGTCCTATCATATTAATCTGTTCCCTTATTATATTTCTTAGCTCTTTTTGGTGCCCGTCTTATTCCTTATTTTTTAACTTAAGTAAAAATAGACCAAAAATAAATAAATAAATAAACAAAAGTATATCAATAGTGATGTCAGCTCACTAAGAATGCAGCTTCAAAATAGATGCTGTCCAGGAGGTGGGATGGTCTGGGAGGGAGGGTCTGCTGCTGATTGGCTGGAATGTGTCTGCTGTCTGTGAGGTACAGGGTCAAAGTTTACTCAATGATGAGTCCGCGGCGAACCGTTCGGCGAACCGTTCAGGACATCACTATATATCAATAAATTCTAATTCTGTGTAATATATCTGTCAAATCTAGTGTCACACTAATTCTTTCCCCGTTCACTCATCCATTTTCTCTTTCCTTTCTTGTCCCTTCCTTCTCTTCCCCCTAAAAAAAATGTTAAAAAATTTACAGAAAACCTCTAGACCTGTAGATATATCTTTCTCTTTCCTCTTCTTCTACAATCTTATCCTCCTTCTACAATCTAAGATATGTATTTCTTACCTTTTTAGCTCCAAATACAAATATTGGTCGTATTAAAATAAAAAAAATATATTTTTTCTCTTTTCTTTTTTCTTCTTCTCTTCAATAATATAATATACCACTTCTATCTAATAAAAAAGAGTCTAAGAGAGAGGATAAAACATAGAGTGTTAATATGTGATCCCCATCTTCTCTTCTTATTTATATTCACTTTTAGACTTTTCTTTTCTTTTATTTATTTCATTTCCCTTTTTTCTTCATTTTCTTTTAGGCATATAATCAATTTTTTGAGGCATCACAGATTAGTATACTGGATCCATAGGGCACGAAAAATTAATTTTCCTTTTTTCCTTTCTCCTTTTTATGGGGAAACATCATTTAAAATTTATATCCATTTTTTTTTTTTTATAGCTGGACTTTTATTCATAGAGTATAGCGGCTTTCTTCAAATAAGGGTAAATCTTTATTTCTGTAAAGATTTAATCAAGCTCGATAAAAGGATTTATCGTGTCATTATTTTTCAGTAATTTGGTATATCAGACCTGTCTAATGGGGAGGAAGGAGGAGAGGGAATAGAGGAAGTATTTAACATATAAAGACACAGCCAGAAATCTCATATTTGGCTCAGATTTTTCCCTTCGCGCCATGAAGCTAGTTTTTCTGGGGAGTCGCATATCACTGTTCTGTATTCATAGGATATAATTTATTTTGTGGGGAAACCCCATTTGTACTTTATATCCTTATTTCGCAGAACTTTTGTTAATTCAGCATAGCGTCTTCTTTCAGATCTAGTATAGTAAGAAAGATCTGGATAAATCTTTATTTGTGCATATGAAGGGATTAGATGAATATTTCTTGCTGCTTTTAAAATCTGATCTTTGAGTCTTGATGATGTGCAGCATACAATAACATTGCGTGGTTTTGAAGTGTGAATTTTGTGGAGGTTTGTAAGTCCTATGGAATCTCTCCAAAGCATGGTTGTATTTTGATGTATCTATATCAAGAGCTTTTATGAGTTCCAATATATATGTTTCCAGTTGCTCATGGGTAATTACTTCTGGTATATCTCTGAGTCTTAGATTGTTCCTTCTGGCTCTATCTTCTAGCTCAGCAATTTTTTTATCCATATTGTAAATTCTGTCATCTTGTTTTTTAATTAGAGCATCCTGGAGTTGAGAATTTTCTTTCAGCTGTGTCATGTGCAGTTCATTTTCTTGAAGTTGCATCCTTATTAAGTATTGTTCTTCTTTAATTTCTTTCATCATATTATTAATTTCCAATTTGAGTTTATCAAATTGAGAATCAAATGCTCAAAAAAGCCTTGGTAATGGTTTGATCCTCTCTTTCTGCATTGAGTGGAAGATTTTTTTGAGTAAGATCTTGGGTGTTAAAAAGACTTTCTTCTAGATCTGTCCCTTCTAGGTTAGATTTGTTGGTTTGTGGGCGAAAAAAGGAGAGTCGCTTCTCCGGTTTATTCTCCTGTTTCTTATCCCTCTTTGTTGTGTTCTTTGGATCATTCGTTTTTTTGGTTGCCATTTAAAAGATCTGCCCATAGGGTGGGGAGAAGTGAGAAAAAAAAAGACGCTCTAAAATTCCTTCATGGAATCGTTATCCAGTCTCAAAATTGTATCAAGTTCACTTTTAGGCCATAATCTTTCTCCCCTTCCCTTTCCCCTTTTTGAATAGATGCTTAAATTCCTTATTTTTAATCAGGGGGGAATTACTTCACTTCTTTAATTTAATAGATTTTAAATAATTTATAAAGGGTCAGGCAACTGATACAAGTTAGCCAAGCCCAATGAATACCAGAAGTTCACCTTATTTAGCTAAATATGGATCTAATCACCTTTCCTGTTATCTCCAATCTTCACTTCACCGCCCTCGACTAGAACACTGCTAGTCGGTATATCCGTTTTTCAATATTCCTTTTTTCCCCCCTTTTTCCCCATTCTTCCTTTGGCTCTAAGTATTTCTTACAATTATAATAAGGAAGTAAAAAGAATCCCAATCAGGAATTATTATCTCTTAAACTGTACAAAATTCCTTTTAAGACTCCCTGCCTCCTTCCTCCTCCATTCAATTTCCCCCCCTCCGCCTATCCCTCTTCCTACTCTCCTTAACAGATAATTTTAGTATTGATATTAATTTTTAAACAATACAGTCATTTACTTAGAGCCAGATAAATATTGTTCCTATTACTCAAAAATCCTATAGATGTTACCATACATTTTTGCTCCAGAATAAGAACAGAAGCTCATAAATATCAATTAATTGATTAAATTTGCAACCAAGCAATTAAACCAAAATAATTTAATACAATCAAAAAAAAAATGAAGAAAAAAAAAAATCTTATCTGGGTTTTTTCTGCTGTATCCGAGGATAGTCTTCAGTTCATGCCCTGCATTTTGCAATCCTTCATTCAGCAGAGAGAATAGAGGTTAGAATATCTCCGTGAGCTCTCTCCACTACTTTGAATGTAGTCTCGTATAGCCAGTACGGCGTTTTCCCGCTGGAGAGTAGTTCAGCTCACGCTGGTTTCCTTAGTTGGATCAGAGCCACCTCCTACATGCTCCCCTTCGCTTCCTCCGCTCTTAGCGCCACGAGCGTGACCGCATGTTACGTCATCGCTCCACCCTAAACATGCTTTCTCTAGCAATTTCTTTATTCTTCACATTTGTCATAGACCTTTGTAAGGTAAGATCCCCATGTTCAGTTAGCAGTGGCAGTAAACCATGCTGCTCTGATCTCCTTTTACGTTTTATCATTCTTAGTCCTGACCAGTGCATTATAACATATTCTGTTATCCTCCCTGAATTAGACCCAGATTGCACATTTGCCAGGTTTATCACCCGAACCCCACCATTTGATTACTATGTATCCTTCCTGTAGCCTGCACTGACTTTGGTACTGTTTACTCCACTCCTGATGCTGGCACTGGCTTGTTTGACTTTGCCATTTGCTGTACGGATCACACAGCCAATTAGACCATCAAACCACACAGACAACTGAACCAAAAGGTTGAACCCGAGGGGCAACTGGATGGAAAGTGAAGAAGTTTATTCTGGTCTAATGTGATGAGTTCTATTCCCTGACACATAGTCAACTTGCATTAATGGTCCACTGTCCTAGTACCGTGAAATATAATAACCTTTGAGAAACAGCTGCAAAGGTGAGTGAAACTTTTGATTTTAAACAACAATATATCTCCATAAATGCCCAGCATCAAACACCTTAGAGTTACCACTTTGATATTTGAGTTTTTTAACAGTAACTTGGTGGAACTAGCAGACTTTAAAATGTGCTAAATAATTGGTGTCAGGATTCTAATTGCATTAATCAAACTGCAAAGTGCATTGTGGGGGCTATTAAGTCCAATTAATACTTTTAGCCATTTATTGTCTGTTAATTTAATTTAGGGATGTTTAGCAGGTACACCCTGTTATGTAGACACTGTTCCCTCATGATCAAAATGAACAAAATGAATCAGACATTTCTAAGCAAATGGTATATATACTCTTTATTAATGACTTTTTATCAAGCAATGTTTTGTTCATTACCTGAAGACCTTAGCTTAAGCTATCTGCCTGCGTCCAAATCAGATCTAAATATCATTGAACCTTTATTGGATGTTAGTATGCAATATAAGTCCACTCAGTTCACCCCTAAAACTAAATACCTTTATATCTTGAGTTGTGCATAATTCACTAGACATATCTAAAAAGTTTTATTGATATTTTACTTTAGCACGGGCATAAAAAAATGTTTTTTTGTTTCATTATGTTTAACGTATAGTTGACGTTATAGTACAATTAACATATAGTTGCCTTGATGGCAGTCAAGCATATGAAACTGGCAATCAGAATTGGACAACTTGCTGATTTTAGTAGCCATTTTATGCATAACAATAATTTTATAAATTGGATTAAAAAAATCAAAAATGATTTCACTCGAATAATGTTTAATGCAATAGATTTGACAGACAAACAGTACTAAAATACTTTAAGAGAAAAGCACTATTTACAAATATTATCATTAAAATCATAAAGAGAGTATATTGTTTTAAGGAAGAAATTGTTTAAAATAATTTTAATATAGAACATACCAGGGTTTATTACTGGAGATATGTATGCAGGGCATTTGGTCATAATTGTAAAGAAATCGATACAGCATTAAAAATTTATTTATTCCCATGTTTAATCCCTTCAGAGGTACGATCTGTAGTAAGGCCTGTAAAAAAATAAATACATGAATAAACATACAATATAAAACAACCTTCTCTAATTCATACCTAAACAGAGAGTTCTAGTATTTTACATAATGATATGTTATAGCAATCAATGTTTTTTTTTTTTTCATTTGTCTGTTGTTGTTTTTTTTGTTTTGTTTTTTAAGTCTGCTATATCTCTAAGGAGACATTCTAGTTTCCTGCTGTTGCCTGCTTAGTTTTTTTAACAGCTAATTAATTTTTTTTATCGTGTCACTTTGCAATGTATCCCTGGTGTTGCTGTTTATGCCCAGAACCACCAATGGGATGACAGTAATGTATTGGCAGCCTCCTGACTCTGGGCCACACCATACCAATAGGTGGTGAGACTTGGGCAGGTATGGAAAAAGACAGGGATGGACTATGTTTGTCCTGGGGTCACTTTCATGTCCAGTAAACACACCCATATTCATAATTATATACATATTTTTGGATAAGCTCTTCAAATTATTTCTTTTTTTTTTTTATTAGCTTGTACAACAACATAATATTTAAAAAAATATTTTAATGTATTGATATTGTTTTACACATATATTTATATATATATTATATATATATATATATATATGTATATATATATATATATTATATTTGTTGATATTTTAATGTTTAAAAATATATATATTTTAAAAGTTTATTCAAAAGTATTCAATAATTTGAAAAGCTTTTCCAAAATATTAAATCATGGCCTTAGGCATCAATTTAATTATTTTTGCATAAGTGTTTATATTATTTCATGTTTTTGGATAAAGTTTTAATATGATTCAATATTTTTAAATTTTTTTAATATATTTTTAAAATATTATATATTGAAATATTTGTTTATATATAATATATTTTTTGATACTTTAATATTTTGAGAAATCATTTTCAAAGTTTATCTAAGAATAGACCAAAAAAAGGAAAACTTGAAGCACAAGCCCTGCATTGAAAAATTGCTGAGACGGAGCATTCTTCAGTTTGACTAGTTTGGTCTTCAGTGTGTTTGCCAGTCCCCCACAAATCTTGACTCAGTAAATTAACCCTTGTGTGTATTTGTTTGTTTGCACATGGTATGAAGGTATGTTTCTGAATGAATGTTTGAGTATGTGTATTGTTGGAGTGAGTGTGGGTACATATTTGTATCTAGGATGAAAGTGTTATATGTGTTAATGCAGGGTTGTATTTGTGTGCAGTGTATGTGTGTTTGAATGCTGGGGTGTATGTATGTGGAGTGTGAGAATGCAGGAGTATGAGAATGCAGGGATGTGGATTTTTTTCAGCAGAGTTAATGGGTGTGTAGTAGCAGGGATGCATTTGAAGCTGTGTGAAGATAAACATAAATTCTGTCTCAGAGTGATGAAATGATGCATAGTGTCAGTATATTGTTACATAGCTGAAAAGAGACATGCAACCATCAAGTTAATTGTGTGTGTGTGTGTGTGTGTGTGTGGTATAGTTACCTCCTCCACTAATATTTATTTCTCTGTTTCACCTTTGTATTTTTCACTATGTATCTCACCTACCTTTTGTCTCACGCAGTATCTCACTCAACATTTGTGTCTCTCCCTGTAGCTTGCCACTTGTGTCTCTCCACAGTGTATCTCCCTGAATTTTACCATGTGTCTCTCTCTGTATCTCACCTCCAAAGTGTATATCCCTGTATCTTATCTCCATGTGTCTCTCTTTGTATCATAACGCCTATTTGTCTCTTTCCTTCTGTCTCATCACCACTTGTATCCTTTAAACATCTCCTTCTATCTCATTTCTCCCTTTGAAGTGTCTCCATCTATCTTTGACTTGTCTCCTGTGTTCAGCTGGCAGGGATGCAGATTCTTCTCTGACCAGACTGCTTTCTAGTCCCCACTTGGGTCCAGTATGTGAATGTGGTGAGGATATGATATAAGTGCTTATTGTTCATGTTATCAGTTACCTTGGTTTTGGTGCTGAGAATGTCCTTTTTGATCCTGGTTGTGCTCCTGTGATTGTTGCTGGTTACCTTGGTTTTGGTGCTGGGATAGTCCTTTTTGATCCTGGTTGTGCTCCTGGGATTGTTGCTGGTTACCTTGGTTTTGGTGCTGGGAGAGTCGTTTTTGATCCTGGTTGTGCTCCTGGGATTGTTGCTGGTTACCTTGGTTTTGATGCTGGGAGAGTCGTTTTTGATCCTGGTTGTGCTCCTGGGATTGTTGCTGGTTACCTTCGTTTTGGTGCTGGGATAGTCCTTTTTGATCCTGGTTGTGCTCCTGGGATTGTTGCTGGTTACCTTGGTTTTGGTGCTGGGAGAGTCGTTTTTGATCCTGGTTGTGCTCCTGGGATTGTTGCTGGTTACCTTGGTTTTGATGCTGGGAGAGTCGTTTTTGATCCTGGTTGTGCTCCTGGGATTGTTGCTGGTTACCTTCGTTTTGGTGCTGGGATAGTCCTTTTTGATCCTGGTTGTGCTCCTGGGATTGTTGCTGGTTACCTTGGTTTTGGTGCTGGGAGTGTCGTTTTTGATCCTGGTTGTGCTCCTGGGATTGTTGCTGGTTACCTTTGTTTTGGTGCTGGAAATGTGCTTTCTGATCATGGTTGGGTTCCTGTGTATGCTCTTTGCTACTTTGGTTTTGGTTCTGGAAATATTCTTTTTGATCCTGACTATGCTCTTGAGGGTGCTGATTACCTTTGTTTTGGTCTTGGGAGCGTTCTCTTTGATCCTGGTTGTGACCCTGTGACTGTTGTTGGTTACCTTTGCTTGGGTCTTGAGTCTTTGCTTGTTCTTTTTGATTTTGGTTATGTTCCTGGGGTTGTTGCTGGTTACCTTTGTTTTGATCTTGGTTATGTTCTTTTTGATCATTTCTGTGTTCCTGGGAATGTTGTCGGTTATCCTTATTTTGCACCTGTGAATGTTGTTTTTGACTCTGGTTTTGTTCCTCTGAGTGTAAATTGTCTTTGTTTTGTTCCTGAGAATGTCCTCTTTGATCTTGTCTGTGTTCCTGGTAATGTTGTTGGCTACCCTTGTTTTGATTCTGGGAATATTCTTTTTGATCCTGGTTGTGCTCTTGGGGGTGTTGATTATCTTTGTTTTGGTCCTGGGATTTTTCTTTTTGATCCTGGTTGTGCTCCTGATGATGTTGTTGGTTACCATTATTTTGTTCTTGGTTATGTTCTTTTTGATCCATTTTGTGTTCCTGGGGATGTTGTTGATTATCTTTACTTTGATCCTGTGAGTGTTGCTTTTGACTCTGGTTGTGCTCCTGGAATTGCTGGCTATCTGTGTTTTGTGCCCATGAATGTTGTTTTTGATCTTGTCCATGCTCCTGGGAATGTTGTCGGTTTTGGGACTGTTCCTTTTGATCTTGGTTGTCCTCCTGACGATGTTGTTGCTTATCTTGGTTTTGGTTCTTGGAACGTTCTTTTTGATCCTGGTTGTGCTCCTGATGCTGTTGTTGGTTACCATTGTTTTGATCTTGGTTATGTTCTTTTTGATCCTTTTTGTTTTCCTGGGAATGTTGTTGATTATCTGTATGTTGGCCCTGTGAACGTTGTTTTTGGCTCTGGTTGTGCTCCTGGGATTGTTGGTTATCTTTACTTTGATCCTGTGAGTGTTGCTTTTGACTCTGGTTGTGCTCCTGGAATTGCTGGCTATCTGTGTTTTGTGCCCATGAATGTTGTTTTTGATCTTGTCCATGCTCCTGGGAATGTTGTCGGTTTTGGGACTGTTCCTTTTGATCTTGGTTGTCCTCCTGACGATGTTGTTGCTTATCTTGGTTTTGGTTCTTGGAACGTTCTTTTTGATCCTGGTTGTGCTCCTGATGCTGTTGTTGGTTACCATTGTTTTGATCTTGGTTATGTTCTTTTTGATCCTTTTTGTTTTCCTGGGAATGTTGTTGATTATCTGTATGTTGGCCCTGTGAACGTTGTTTTTGGCTCTGGTTGTGCTCCTGGGATTGTTGGTTATCTTTTTTTTCTGCCAGAGAATGTTCTTTTTGATCTTGTCTATGCTCCTGTGAATGTTGTTGGTTACCCTTGTTTTGGTTCTGGAACTGTTCTTTTTGACCATGGTTGTGCTCCTGTGGGTGTTGATTACCTTTGTTTTGGTCCTGGAAACTGTCTTTTTGGTCCTGGTTGTGACCCTGGAGCTTTTGTTGGTTGCCCTTGTTTTGGTCTTGGAAATGCTTTTCTTGATTCTCGTTGTGTATCTGGGATTGTTGCTGGTCACCTTTATTTTGGTTATGTTCTTTTTTAACTTCTCTGTGTTCCTGGGAATGCTGTTGGTAATACTTATTTGGGTCCTGGGAATGTTCTTTTTGATCGTGGCTGTGTTTTTGGTTACCTTTGCTTCGGTCTTGCTCCTGATGGTGTTGTTGGTCAACTTTGTTTTGATCTTGGTTATGTGCTTTTTGATACTTGCTTTGTTCCTGAAGAGGTTGTTGGATGCCCTTGTTTTGTTCCTCTTTATTATTCTGGTTGTGCCTCAATTCCTGTGGTTGTTCTTGGTTAGTTTTCTTGTTTTCTTTTGGTTCTTTATGATGGTCTTGGGTGTCTCTGCGTTCCTCAGCGTAGTGTTGGCCAGACATTGTACGCTCTTCAGAGTGTTTATTTTCTTCATGGCCTTTATTGTGTTCTTGATGACTCTTTTCAGCCTCTTGTTGCTGAGAGGTTTCTGGTTTTGCAGAGTATACAAAAAAAATATTTAGCATACTCATTATAAATCGCGGTACACATATTTTAACTTTTACACCATGAGTGCCAAATATATCTAGCTGTTGCTCAGCTACACCTAACTTAGGCCTCAAATTACTTAGATTGTAAGCTCAGAGACAGGGCCCTCTACCGTTTGTATTGGTCTGTATGTACTGTATTGTCTTTTTCACAATTGTTCAGCGCTGTGGAATTTGTGGGCAATTTATAAATGCCAGTAATAATAATAATATGTTGGATAAGCTTTTCAAATTATAATAAAAATAATTAAACTGAGGCCTTAAAGGGACACTATAGGCACTCAGACCACTTTACGTAATGAAATTGACTTAGAGTAGTGTCCTTATCACCCTAACCCTGCAGGTGAAAACATTGCAGTTTTAGAGAAACTATGATGATTTTATCTTCAGCATCAGCTGTGTATTCCTATTACTATAGTGTTTCTTTAAGGTTAACTTCTATTTTACATGAAGTGCAAGCTTCTCTTTAAAAATATACACTGTGATAATAATTATTACAGTGGAACTGTCACTTGTGGGGTTATTAACTTCAAGAGGACATGCCCACTCCCATGGCTGCACCCAGAGCAGAGGGAAAGGTAGATTTTCTGATCTGATTCTTTTTGTCCACAGCACATGTTCCTCCATGGCGTAATATGCCAGAAAACATGGACAATTGTGATATTTTTATCATGTGCAAGGCATTCATCCCAACAGTCCTTGGCTTATCAGGACAGCCATGATTTTTGTGAAGGCACTTGTGGCTTTTTAGTGCTTTTCAGTGAGCTGCAATATAGCTCATTGAAGGAGGGAAGGCAGGAATGCGCTAGATTAGGGCACCTCCAACTTATGTTAGCTCTGTGACCTAAAGAGAAGCATAAGAAATCATTCCTGGTTGTTTAAGTAACAACCAGGAAGGTGTTTCTCAACCAAGTAATAAAAGTGATCATTTCTGTTGAACTTTGCACCTTTATAAACTGTTAAGGGAAATGACAGACAGCAAGATTACGTGCTTTATGTGTCCAGAGTTAATGTGTTAATTGTACAAAAAGGGGGAGATACAGCGCTAACTCCAAAGGCAGCAAGATAAAGTCTGTAACTTGGATAGTCCAGCAATCCAAGATTTTTACCATTACATTATCTAGGACACTGTGTATATTGCGTTTACATTATTGGTGTCTTTTTGTGTTTCCATTTCATATGGGACAACGTTAAGAAAACGCCTCATCTATACCGTAAGATCTGATTATTTATTAAGCACGGAGGACAACAGATTGACCTCCAAAAAATACTATATCCAGCAGGTTTTTATATTAGTACCATAAAGACTTTCTCTTGAGGACTTTTTTTCATATTCTTATTTAAGCCATTTTATAACCATCCCTTCACCTCTGTGCCTAGATACGTTTCCCCCTCCCTCAGCTTTATTGCAAGCCTATCGGACCCTCACATTTCTTTATTTAACAGCCTGATTTCCAAACTTTGAAACCCCAATACTGCTGTAAGAGGCGCTACTCCTGCCTCTTTCGGTGGGCTACAATTCTCTCACACTCCAAGACTCAACTGTAAAGGAGGTGGTGTAGGCATCCTTCTTTCCCCTCAATGTACCTTTCAACCAGTCCTAATCCTTCTCTTTTTTTGAAGTTCATACTGTCCGCCTATTTAAATCCACTCCTTCAAGAACTGCTATCATCTACTGCCCCTACGGTTATCCTAGACTATTCATTGAGCACTTTTCTTACTGGCTTCCCCACTTCCTCTGTTCTAGCACTCCTTCACTTATACTTGGGGATTTCAATATCCCAATCAACAACCTCAATTGCACTGATACCTCTCGTCTGCTTTCTGTAACCTCCCCCTCTGGCCTTACGCAGTGGTCCAATTTAATTATACCAGTAATGCCTAAAGAGATGCTATAAGGCATGAAAACAACATTAGCTTAATGAAGCAATGCTGGTGTATATATAATGCCCCTGTATTCTCAATTGCTCAATTCTCTGTCATGTAGGATTTAAATCACTTTTGTTTCTGTTTATGCAGCTCTAATCACCCTATGTCAGTGACTAACTGCTTGAATTTAAAAATTCTAGATTAAACAGAATGTGCAATACAGGTACCTAAAATAACTAGGTTAGGTGTCAGGAAGTATATGGGAATGCTGTGCAAGTCACATGCAAGGAGATGTAACTACAGCTGCATAAACAAAATAATTTGACTCCTATATGGAAAATAATTGAGCAGGGAGATTACAAAAGCATGATCTACATAAAAACTGCTTCATCAAGCATGCCGGAGCATTGCCATATTTCCATCACCCTTCATCCATACAGCGGGAAACACTCTTGATCTCGCCTTCACCAATCTCTGTACCACCTCTAATCTTTCCAATATTCATTTTTCTTGACCTGACCACCATCTGCTGACTTTTGACATCAGCATACCTAAGACCCAATTGACACCTTCTGAACATAAATCTCACAGAAACCTCCAATGTCTTGACCTAGAGCATTTCACCATTAATCTCCAAACTCTTCTTTAAACCTCACCTGTCCTAGCTCTGCAACCTCCTTCTACAATTCCACCCTCTCCTCTCAACTAGACATCATGGCACCTCCTACATTTAAATGCAGCAGCCCCCCAACAACAACTTTGGCAAACAAAGCTGACTCGATACCTCCAAAAATGCTCCAGAACTGCTGAACGCTGTTGGAGAAAGTCTCACTGTGCATCTGACTTTCTCCACTATAAATTTATGCTGAGCTCATACAGCTTGGCTCTTTCCTCTGCAAAAGTAAATTACTTCAATACCCTCATAACCACACTCTCCCGCGAACCCAAACGACTATTTCACACATTTAACTCTCTTCTTCGCCCTGCTGTTACTCCTCCACCTACTAACTTGACCGCCTCAGACTTTGCAACTCACTTCACTGACAAGATCTCTACAATCAGGGAAGAGATCTCTCATCTTTCTTCTTCCCCTTACAATACTTCCCCTGACCTCACTACCTCTGCTGTTCTATGTTCATTTGCACCTGCTAAAGTGGTAGAGGTCTCTGCTCTGCTCCAGTCCTCCCGCCTCACCACCTACTCCCTAGATCCAATTCCCTCACATCTCATCCATACTCTGTCTTCTTCTCTTTCTCCACCTCTCACTAAAATTCTCAATCTCTCTCACTCCTCTGGCATATTTCCATCACCCTTCAAACATGCAACTGTAACCCCAATTCTAAAGAAGCCCAACCTTGACTCAAAGTATCTAATGATCTACTCGCTGCAAAATCTCATGGTCACTACTCTATCATAATTCTCCTTGACCTGTCTGCGGCTTTTGACACTGTTGCTCATCCCCTACTGTTCTCTATCTATACTGCATTCCTTGATAAACTCATTAGCTCCTTTGGCTTCCAATATCATTTCTAAGCAGATGACACACAAATCTACCTGTCCTCTCCTGATCTCTCCCTGTCCCTCTTGACTAGTGTCTCTGACTGCCTCTCTGCTAATTCTAACTGGATGGCTGCCCACTTTCTTAACCCCTTAAGGACCAAACTTCTGAAATAAAAGGGAATCATGACATTTCACACATGTCATGTATCCTTAAGGGGTTAAACTCAACTTGACCAAAACTGAAATTCTGGTCTTTCCTCCCTCAAGTGTTGCTACTCCTGTGTCTGTCTCCCTCCAACTCAATGGTGCTACCATCAGCTCCACCACACAGGCTTGCTGCATAGGTGTTCTCTTTGACTCCGACCTCTCCTTCACGCCACATGTTCAGTCTATCACCAAATCCTGTAGTTTCCATCTCAAAACATTGTGCGCATCCGACCCTACTTAACGCCAGATGCGACTAAGGTGTTGGTCCATTCCACTGTCCTTTCTCGCCTTGACTACTGTAATTCGCTTCTCAGTGGTCTTATGTGCTCCCAACTTGCGCCGCTACAGTCCATAATGAATGCGACGGCAAGGCTCGTCTTCCTGGCCGCCCACACCTCCCACGCCTCACCCTTCTGTCAGTCCCTACATTGGCTTCTTGTAAGATATAGGGCTCAATTTAAAATTCTAGTTCTTGCTTTCAAATCTCTACATAATGCTGCTCCCACCTATCTATCCTCCCTAATACACAAGTATGTCCCATCTAGGCCCTTACGCTCTGCTGAAGACTTACATCTATCTTCTGTCTGTACTCCCACCTCAGAGGCTTGCCTTCAAGACTACTCGAGGGCTGCACCGTTCCTGTGGAACTCGCTTCCCTCCTCTGTTAGATGCTCACCCAGTCTCCACTCCTTCAAAAAATCGTTAAAAACCCACTTCTTCATAAAAGTGTATCAATTAAACTGTTAATAGATCCCGACTGATTCCACTCTTGCAACTGTCATTAGTCTAATACTATCCTTACCTTTTGTGTCACTTTACCCCACTCCCTCTAGCATGTAAGCTCATTGAGCAGGGCCCTCAACCCCTCTGTTCCTGTATGTCCAACTTGTTTGTTTACAATTAAATGTCTGTTCGTCCACCCACTGTAAAGCGCTGCGGAATTTGTTGGCGCTACATAAATAATAACATTATAATAATAATAATATTGACAATATTGTGTACGTATATACCTATACTTGCTTTGTTAAAATTCATATTTGGCGCAGTATGTTCTCTTTCTTTTTTTAATTCCTTTATTTAAGCTAAAGTTGTTTTGGTGCCTATAGTGTCTCTTTAAGGAACAGTCATAAAAGTTCTATAACTCAGTTTAACCAGCCAGAAATTCAACACTGGACCTAAGCCTCAATGAGTTCTAGAAGCTTTGTGTTACAGAATATGTTGTTCTGCAAACGATTTAAATACATGTTCTAAATAAGACAACTAATTAAAACATAACTCAATGTTTGTGAATTATACCAGTAATACCTAAAGAGATGATATAAGGCATGAAAACAACATTAGACTAACTGCTTGAATGAAAAAAATTCTAGATTAAACAGAATGTGCAATACAGGTACCTAAAATAACTAGGTTAGGTGTCAGGAAGTGTATGGGAATGCTGTGCAAGTTACATGCAAGGAGATGTAACTACGGCGGCATAAACAAAATAATTTGACTCCTATATGGAAAATAATTGAGCAGGGAGATTACAAAAGCATGATCTACATAAAAACTGCTTCATCAAACATGCCGGAGCATTGCCATGGCAACCCGTGGTAATGCTCTCGTGGCTCACAAGAGGAGAGGATTGTGCTGGAGGGGAAGGTCAGACTCCTGGGCCCCCTCGTCACAGAGGACTACAGAGGACTGGATCTGCAAATATATATATATAGAGAGAGAGAGGCACTCGCCATATATATGAACACAGGTGGCCCTGCCCCCAAAGCAGGCTGGGTAAAGTGTACAGGATCGGCAAAATGCTGCCCCTATCAAAAAGCTTCCTGGACCATTGTAACCTATGGACGGGCTGGCCCTGTCTTGGATTAACACCCAACAACCATTTTTTTCTTATTTACTGCCCAACTCATAACATAACGCACATTCTTGGAGCAGAAAGGAAACCATGCAAGTTTGGAGGGTGGAGCAAAAAGGGAGGGCATCTGGAACAGAATTATTTATTTAAATATTTCTTTGTTTTGTTTAGAAAATAAAAAAGATTAAGAAGAAAAAAGCAACCTCTGACATAACTAGCTATAATACACTCTATACATTGCCCCTAACACGGCTGGATGCTGAAGTGGTTGGTAGATAATAATAATAAGTATCTGTGTTAAACAGCGGTAATAAACATTTTATTGTGACTCTCCCATTTTGTAATGGGGTTTAAAACAAAGATAGTATACCACTAAAATCATGCAATTTAAGACGGTTTAATGAACAAGTCCCCATTCTTACTTTTTTTGCAGGATTTCTCTGTGCTAAAAGCTTCTTTACTATACGTGTGGGTATCCCCCGATCCAGACATGGTGTTCTATGGTGATGGTAGCTTGAGTAGATGTTAAAATAATGTAAAATGAGCTCTGCGAAATGTGCCCGAACCCTTCCCGCAGACATTTATATACAGCAAATCCTGATTCACACGCTGTAGAGGTGACATCAAAGTTTACATCAAAGGTAGGATCTTTTTAAAAATAATTATCATTTTTAGAACCCTACCAAATGACACTAGGGAATACTTAAAGAATTTTATTGGTTTTCTTAAAACCTTTTCAGCCATATGTCATTACATAACACATTTAATAAGCTCAGACTCTATTATATGTCTCTGAGAAAAACAGTAGGAGATGCTCATTGTTTAAAGTTCATATCATGATGCTCACCTGGAATTATTTTACAACATTTAAACAGCTTTTATTTATCTAATGCTTTGCATGTCAAGTAGTGGGAATTCTCTAACCAGTTTGTTCCTATAGAAAATGAACATGAGCATTAACGTCTTTGAAAACATAAACACATTATAAAATTACCTTGTCATCGAGGTATCAAGACTGCACGGAAAATGAATGGAGACATGTGATTGGCTGAGCTTTCTCGGCCAATCAAACTGGGCATTCAGCAGTGACTCATGAGGTGTTAAAGTTGGGCTTTATTTTACATGCAGCTTAGTGGCAGATATTTATCAATGTGGTCTGTTATAGAAAGTGTAAAAGAAACGGAGTCACCAATACAAAAAGAGCCATCTTTAGAGTGCCTTGGCCAGGGGATGCAAAGTGTGCCCTGGCTGGCCCATGCAGAGGGTGCTCTGTCCTTTCATGGACTCATAAGGGAGATCATTGATCTACCTCACTGGCCGATACTTCCACTGCATGGGATCCAGAGGTCTTCTGGTTTCCATCTTTGCCAGGTGTAGACATTGTAGATTATCCAATGATATGACCAGAGTGCTGGAGCTCACAAGAGTGAGGGATCTCACCACTGGACCACCGGGGATAGAATTGTCCCCAGTCTCTGGCCCATGGTAAAAAGAGGTAACAGAAGTGGTGGTGAAAAATGCATCTTGGCTTTGTTAGACAAACATTTTGCACTGACCCTGTACCAATGGAATGATTCCACTGGTTCCATGGTGATTTCCCCAAAGTAAGTATTTTAGACCACATTTTAGTTTAGAACAGAGCATTTTGGTAATTCTCCCCCTCTGATTATTGGAGTCAGATATTCATGTGTTGTCTTTTGGAGGTTTTTTCACTTCTGATACCAGCCTGTTTTTTATATACATATATATTCTTTCTGTGACCTTGTGGTGTCTGCTACAAGATTTAGAACATATCTCCTCTGAAACTGTTTTATTTTGCTGTTATAATCTATCAACTCATTTGTGAGGGTGTCTTGCTGAGTTATCTACTAAACTAAATTAAGCATCGTAAAGAAATCAAATCGGAATGGCAAATCAAGGATAAAAAGTAAAATTGGGACAATATATATATATTTCCCAATCAGCTATTTTGGTCTACATTCTCCCACTCAGATCTTAATTCTCTGCCATTCAGAGTTAAATTAATAAGTCCCATTTCTGACTTTTCATATTACCCAAATACTCTGAAAATTTGCTTATTCGACTCAATATTCTGTCCATCCACCTTGATAATCTGAAATCTGCCTGTTTACCCTGAGACTAAAATAATCTGTTAATTTACCCCCAGTTTTACTTAGTTATGCCAAATTGTAGCGAACTAATACTTACAAAATCTAGGCAAAAATAGCTCACCCCAAAAAAACGTCACACTCTATTAAAGTTACAACTTGGCTTTTTTAGCATAACTGTTGCCTTTCTGGTTTAATTTCACAACTATTTATAGTTCGGTTAATAAACCTGTTTGACATCCTATCTCTCTATTTACCATATATCCCAAGGTTTTTAATCGACAAAGAGGGACATTTTAATTTTAGAGGTGTTACTGTGGGCAGGGCTAATCTGAGATATTTTAGGGCATTTACTAAAAGCAACTTATGTAACTAAAATGTAATTTAGAACAAGAACGATGTGTATTTACACGGACTGATTTCTTAACCCATTTATTGTAGTTTAAAGAAACATTACTGGGAGTATTATTGCTGTGGAGCTCTGTTATACACTCAGACACATTACTGGGAGTATTATTGCTGTGTAGCTCTGTTATACACTCAGTCACATTACTGGGAGTAGTATTACCGTGGAGCTCTGTTACACACTCAGACACATTACTGGGAGTATTATTGCTGTGGAGCTCTGTTATACACTCAGACACATTACTGGGAGTATTATTGCTGTGTAGCTCTGTTATACACTCAGTCACATTACTGGGAGTATTATTACCGTGGAGCTCTGTTACACACTCAGACACATTACTGGGAGTATTATTGCCGTGGAGCTCTTTGAAAAGAGGGACAAAGAGGTATGGGCTCAATATAGGGGCTGTCTCTCCTAAACAGGGACACTTGGGAGGTTTGATTTACCCTGATGGCCTGTCAACAAGTGTTAATTTTAGCGGCAAATTTCAATTTAGTTTAAGTCATAATCTTTTGACTAAAAAGCTATTTCAGTTTTAGTCATATTTTAGTCATCTGAATTGTTTTAGTTTTAGTCTAGTTTTAGTCAACTAAATCTCCAGTACACTGGTGAGACCTCACTTGGAGTATTGTACACAGTACTGGAGACCGTATCTTCAGAAGGATATTGATACCTTAGAGAGGGTTCAGAGAAGGGCTACTAAACTGGTTCATGGATTGCGGGATAAAACTTACCAGGAAAGGTTAAAGGATCTTAACATGTATAGCTTGGAGGAAAGACGAGACAGGGGGGATATAATAGAAACATTTAAATATATAAAGGGAATCAACACAGTAAAGGAGGAGACTATATTTAAAAGAAGAAAAACTACCACAACAAGAGGACATAGTCTTAAATTAGAGGGGCAAAGGTTTCAAAATAATATCAGGAAGTATTACTTTACTGAGAGGGTAGTGGATGCATGGAATAGCCTTCCAGCTGAAGTGGTAGAGGTTAACACAGTAAAGGAGTTTAAGCATGCGTGGGATAGGCATAAGGTTATCCTAACTATAAGATAAGGCCAGGGACTAATGAAAGTATTTAGAAAATTGGGCAGACTAGATGGGCCGAATGGTTCTTCTCTGCCGTCACATTCTATGTTTCTATGTTTCTATTTTGGTTGACACAAAATCTGATAGGTTTAGTTAAAGCATCTGTCTCTTTTGCCCCTTCTCCAGCCCTTCTGTGTCTCTTTGTGTCCTCCCAGATCTCCTGACCATTATTCATTTAGTGAGTGGATATTAGACCCTCTGAAAGACATATTACACTACACATGTTTTTTTATATATATATGCCTTTTGTTTAAAACATTAATAACTATGGTAGTAATACTTATTTCACAATCCCAAAAGATTGAATAACACTAGGAGGAGCAAACAATACTTATATTTTGCATGATGGTGTTAGAATTCTGAAACCTCATTTTCATTCCCACTAATACAATATAAAAAGTCTGCAGTCTATTCAATGGCTGGGTTCATTCAGCAACACCAAAGCCCCTCAGCCAGTATCCCCCCACTATTACCTATATACCCCCACTATAACCTATGTACCCTATTACAGCCACTACCTCACTGTTATTACCCATATTCACTCACTGCAGCCGCCATCTCACCAACTAGAGCACCTACCTCCCCACTACAGTTACTATCATCCTCACCCCAGCAACTATCCTCCACTACTGCCACTATTTCCACTATTGCCACTATCCCCCACCCAGTGTAGTCACTATCCACCACCCACTATAGCTCATATCCCCCCACTACAGCCCCTATCCCACCTATTTCCCTGCTACTATAGCTACTATCTGACATTATAGCCCCACAAACATACAACACCACTAGCTATCTCCCTCTAGCAGCTTCCATTTACATATACACACACACCCGATCCTGGGACTTACATAGTTACATAGTTATATATCTGAAAAGAGACTTGTGTCCATCAAGTTCAGCCTTCCTCACATATGTTTTTGCTGTTGATCCAAAAGAAGGCAAAAAACCTGGTCTGAAGCACTTTCAATTTTGCAACAAACTAGGAAAAAATTATTTCTTGACCCCAAAATAGCAGTCAGATGGCTCCTCGGATCAAGCAGCTATTACCCCACTAATTAGAAATGATATCCCTGTATGTTATGTTTTTGTAAGTATTTATCCAATTGCAGTTTAAACATCTGTAATGACTCTGACAAAACCACCTCTTCAGGCAGAGAATTCCATATCCTTATTGTTCGTACTGTAAAAAAAACCTTTTCTTTTGCCTTAGATGAAATCTCCTTTCTTCCAGCCTAAATGTGTGACCTCGTGTCCTATGTACAGCCCTGTTTGTGACTAGATTTCCAGATAAAGGTTTGTACAGCCATCCAACCACCTAGTTACATCCACCATTCAATCATACCCCAAACGGGATAGGGGCTTCATTGAGGAGACTGGCTTTGGGCCAGCAATGAGGGTAAACCCACCCTGGATGTTTTTTGCCTTTTTGCCTTTGAACCCTAAACTATTTACATTGCATAGGTCATGTAGATTTCTGGCAAGTATAAAAGGTTCATGACATAATAAGCCAGATGTTTAGGCCAGAAGGATTCATAATTATTCTAATTGTTTTTTTATGATTGTGTTTATCGTTTAACAGCCTGAGGCATTTGTACGCATTATTAATAACTCACAGACAAAAGTTAATTTAACCACTCCGCCAATGAGACATTAATGACATATTAGTGTCACGGTAGTTCTAATAGCACAGCTTTAATCATTCTCAATTAAAATGGTTCTGAGACAACTACTATATTTCTCAAGAGAGCATTATTACTACTTGGGCAGAGGAATGGTCCTATTACTCAGATGGTAGTTAGGTATCAAACTAACTAAATTAGCTCATTAACTGTGTTAACCTTTCCATAATAATTAATTTGTAAATTAGCAATCAATTAAATATTTATTTGGCTATATAGAGCTAAGTAAACGTTGATCGCACAAGAAGGGTTATATGAT